CTGACCGGGACAAAGCAACAACAAAAGTACCCTGGAACCTAAAATTTGCGAGATACATTGTTCCCAGAGATCTACAAGCGGCGAATGGAAGTTAAAAAGGAAAGTTTTTTTTTTTTCACTCTCCTTCCTAACGTTGACTGCGAATAGAAATGCATGAGAAATCGGAAAAACCCGCATTGGCACTAATAGGTAATTAAATGCTAAAGGGATAATAAGGACTTCTGAATATCTAAACAAAAATTTTTTTTGCTGTAAGTGGGAAGGGAGAGGAAAAGAATTGGAGCAGGATTTGGAAGTAAGGAGGATTGCCTAGAATCTTAAAGAATTACTAAATACCAACAAGACGTCTAAAAGATACATTTTAACTGGAACTTTGCAACTAAACAGTAACCCCAGAAAGAGAAAGTGAAAGTGCTAAAAGAAACAGCTTATTTGGACTGTTTGGTGATTTTGCGACTTTTGGAAATTATCTTTGACTAAAAACACTTGGGTGGTTGTTTTGGAAAAACTTTTTCTTTCTACAATGGCATCACTTGTGGATGAATTGAAAATTGAATTCAAAAAAATATAAAGAAGAAGAAGAAGAAGGGAAAGACTCTCTTGGCACTCTTTTTCAATTCTTAGAAATGGCGATTTGCACCTATGAGAAACTGACTGCACAACAAGATGATTGGGATAAAGAAGAAGCCATCTTTGATGAACAAGTAACTTTATTTGGGGAAGAAAGGGAGAAAGAGGAAAAGAAAAAGGGGACTTTAAGATTTGAAAAAACAACCAAAAAAAGAGAAAAATAAGGTGAAAAGTGGATATGTTAGAAAACAACAGAAAGGGGGAAAGCAGAAGAAGAAAAGGGAGGTGTAGAGACAAGGGTGTAAAAAGGGCAGGGAGAAGAACAAGCAAGGGAGGAAGGAAGGGATGAGAAGCCTCAATGGTGGGGAGCAAGATGTAAAGAAACAAGATTCACTTAGAGATAATGGGTAAATTTAATTGAAAAAGGGATTCTGCAAAGGTACATAAGATTGTATTGTTATATTTGTATTTAGAAATAATGTTAGAAAATTGGAAACAACTTGTGATCAAAAAATGGGATAAAATATTTAGTGTAACTTAGTGAAATTTTTGTGAATAAAAGGAAGGCAATGAAATAAATGAGAGAATTCATGTAGGAGGAAATGGGAACATTTTAATGATACAATGATTTAAAATATAAGTGATGTGATGTGGGGGGGAAATAATTATGGAAAGTATAAGCGTTCCCATAAAAGTATGATATTCAATTGAAAAGTAATGTGTAAAATGTTTAAGATTTAAATGAATATTAATATTAATGATTAGATTTTAATTGGCATGGATAGTTGTTTTAATTATATACTTATAAATTTTTTCTTTTTATAAAATATGTGTAATTTTAGAATGTACTAAACAGAATCCCAATGGAAGTCATGTATTATATTAAGTGTTATAAAATTTAGGGGAAAGAGTTAAAGGCGTCACACTCCAATCAGTGTACAGGAGAAATTTTGTTTAAAGAGAAAAGACAAATAGATAGCTGGAAACAGAACAGACAAAGAATAATAAGTATTATGATCTGAACTGAGATGAGATAAATAAAATAAAACTAAGAAAGTTAAAAGAGGTGAGAAGCTATATAGAAAATGGAAAATGGTAATAAGATATGGAATGGTATATAAAATGAACATGAATTTGAATTTGTGTCTGTACGAAGAGATGTAACCCGGGATCAAGCAGCTTTCAGAAAAGATGTTTTATGTTTTTATGTTTTGTTTGTTTGTGTATTGTCTTTGAAAATCAATAAAATTTGTTTTAAAAAAAAGAAAAAAGATTTGTTGTGCCCGTGGAGCCACCTGAGGCTTGCTGCAAGGCTCATCTTGCTGGTGGAGCTGCTTGCAGCTGGATGCTGCATGGTGTGTTTTGTTTAAAGAGAAAAGACAAATAGATAGCTGGAAACAGAACAGACAAAGAATAATAAGTATTGCATGCACGAGTGGCTTCAGCAGCGAGACAAGTCTCGCAGTGTTCTGCCGCAAGCAGCTCCACCGGCAAGACGAGTCTCACCAAATGAGTGGTTCCACCAGTGAGTCGAGCATCAGTGGTGCTACAAGCCTCGTGGTGTTCTGCGAGTGGCTCCACTGTGCAACGAACCATGCGGCGTTTTGCTGCAGCTCCACCGGTGCAATGAGTTAAGTGGGTGCTGGGTGAATGGCACACCTCCATCCCCCCACATTTGCCCTAACTTGATTTTTACACCTGCACCTCACCCCACCTTGTACAGTCAAATGGTGGGCAGGGCTTAACTAGTCCTTATTTTTAGAGCAGGGCTTACATTAGGCACAGGTGTGAAAATCAGCTAGGGTTTGTTTTCGGGGTCAATCGTATTTTCAGGCAAACACAGTAGTTAATGTTTCACTGTCTGCCTAAATATGCTTATTTATTACTGATTAAGTATCATCAAATCATTTTATTGCCCACTTTATATAAACTCATTTATATTAAAACGATTGTACAGAATTTCTTTTCAATGAAATAAAATAAATAAGAATAGAATTAGAAAATGCCACCATATGTTTTACAATTTGAACATAACTGTAAAATTTAAAACTCCAGTTATTATTTAAGTTTAAAATATTTTAACATTCTGTTATTTACATTTGGCCAACTGTGTTTTGGGGGCCAAAAAAGAATTAAGGAAGTAATACTATCACAGAATAGCTAGATGGCAGCACATCATAAACATAGGGTCATCTTAAAAGTAGGATTGGATTTAGCCTTTTAACAGAAGGAAGAAATCTCAGAGTTGCAGGCTAATTGGGAAGGGGGAAAAAAGCAATGACAAACCACTTTATAGTTTTGCCAAGAAAGCCCAGTAGATGGTCCATGAAATCACCAGGAATGGTTTGAAGTAGACACATATTCTTTTATTGAATCTGAACTGCCAGATAGCTGTTGGCTTACTCAATTGTTGCAAATAAGAGGACCTCTGGGAATTGGCAATAGGGGTGATGGCCATAATTTTATAGGGGACAAAGCATGAGTAACATGCTCTCTTCCTATATCACTGGATGGCATAGTTGCAGGATCTGTCCTCATGCTTTCTTTCAAGCACTTTAAAAGTTTGTAAAGGAATGTAATGCAAACTTAAGCTATAGTTAGATAGATGATACATAGGTAGATAGATTAGATAGATGATAGATATTGAACTATAGGTTAGATTTGCATTATACCCCTTTACAAATTTATCTATATCCACATATTGGTAAAGGAATGTAATGTATACTTTAATATATATGGGGAGATTGAACTATACACTACATATATGTGTGTGTGTGTGTGTGTGTATGTGTGTGTGTATATATACACACACACTCTGAAAAGCACAGAGCCGAAGACACAAGCCTGAAGATGATGAATGAGACTTCATCGAAACGTTGCCTAGATACTTCCAATTTTTTTATGTTTTCTTAAGTTTTCGCAGGTACTTACATGTATGGTATTCAGCTTTGTTCAGGTATTTTCCCACATCATTATAGTTGTGCTTCTAAAGTTATAGCAACGTTTCGGCAGAATCTCATCTGCCATCATCAGG